CTGTTCTTCATGTTGTATATTAATAACTTCTTTCAACGCAATTTTCCAAAGCCCAAGCAGCCACATTTGAGCTGCTTGTTTTTGTCCGTTCAGCAGTCCAAAACTCTAAGATGTTCAGACTACTATCATATACCAGCAAATATTCACTTGTTAAGGAAATTACTTAAATTAAACATCAAATATAACATATCTAGTAGAGCACTCGGAGAGGGCAAACCTCTGCTCAAGGTCATTTCATCAAGTGAAAAATAATGCCTATATCCGATCCGTGATTCGAATCTGGTCCAAATCTTAATGGATTCCTCCTTGGCCCATGTTACATCCTTTCACCAAGTTTCATGAGAATCGGGCCAGTGGTTTTTATGTTACTCCGCTAACAAACAGACACACACACACACACACACACACACTGAGCCGATAAAGTGACCTCGTTGGCCGAGGTAATTATAATTGTTTCAGCTCTAACCTAGCGATTAGCGATTTACAAATCTGTGGCAGAAAAACATCTATTTGTGGAAAGTGCCTGAACTCTGTTACAAATCGTGATTATTTTGTTTCACTTGCACCATTTCTAAATGTATAAAATGTTATTTCTGCTCCAGACATGCACATCTTCAAGTGTTTCTAAAAGGGACACTCGTCTGTGTGTTTCAGTATCGAGGTTTGTCCATGACTGGGTTTATGTATGGCTTCTTTTTTATCGGTGTGTGTGTGTGTGTGTGTGTGTGTGTGTGTGTGTGTGTGTGTGTGTTCATCCCTGACCAGAGTGCAAATCATGTGCAGGAATGTTAATGTCTTCTTCCTTTGTTGTCCGTGCAGACAGCCGAGTGTGACTGTGCATATTCATGAAGCTGCCTTCCTGGAACACATTAACTTTTACCAAGGAAGGAACATAGATGAAAAAAATAATGAGTTGCAGAAATTTAAAGAAAGCTAAAAGGGTGGAGTAGAGTAGAGACATACAGTGTATGTACAGAAATAGACATAGGGGGATGGAAAGATGTATCAAAAAAGGAAAACACGAAGTAAGAGACAGAGGCAGAGTCCTGTCAGCACATACACTTCATTCATCTTTTGCAATAGCAACAGGAGCCAAAGTTGTTTTTTTAGTTGCAGCCAGCGCTCGGTGTTCACTATAAAAACTCTCCATGTAAACGGGTCATATGTGGTCCAGCAAATACAAAATGTGTTATTGAATTTCATTGCCCGTTGGTTTAGATTTTTCGACCATTTTCAGAAATTCAAAATACTTGTTAAACAAGATTAATACAGTATATCTGTGCAGATGAGTCTTCAATGTAAACATTGTAAACATTGTAAACATGAGTTTATGGTCTCAATCTCTAGTGTCAAGTCTTCTTCAATATAGCATGATGTTCATTTAGTAAATGATGATCCATTTAGAGTCAAATGGACCATAAAGCAGGGGATGCTTTAGGGCGGGGCTACACATTGAATGTCTGCAGTTGTCCATGTTTTTCTCTAAGAACTTTAACCCTTTCACAGTGTGTTTTCAGTTCATGGCGGTTGATTGTAACCTTTTTGGTCACTTGAAAGTTCCTTATTCAGTGTCCGGGTGTACTTAGCTCCACCCTCTGGGTGTAACATGGTTACGGCAAAAAAACCAAGATGGTGACGACCAAAATGCCGAGCTTGAGGCATCAAAACAGGACTAGTTTTTTCTTTGATATTCGTTTCAAAATATTCAAAAACATGTAAGAGAACTGCAGGTGAATTTGTGAACCCGTCGTCTTCATTCAGCAGAAAACAAAACCAAAGTTTAAAAAAGGACTTTGTGTGTAACTGTGCAGAGTGAAGCTGACTGAGGCTTCAGCAGGAAAAAGCTGCTGATCATCTGCTCTCGTTCCTATCAGCAGAAAAGCCTTTGCTGCAGATTGCAGTTTTTTGTAGCTACCAATCTCTCCACTACTACCACAGGCTATCAGTGTATCAGTCGTCACTGTTTTCACCGCTGATAACCAGCAACATCATTCAGCTCATTTCAAATCATTTGCCTCTTTCGCATTGCAACATTTTAGTGAGAAGAAATGACACGACCAACATTAGAGAGTTGTTCGTGATTAGCATTTGTTTTTCCTGATTCCGGCATTGTGTCTCTCAGTAAGAAGGATGAGTGTATTGAGGGCTGTGATGATAAAGGTGGAATGATATCTGTGTGACTGTGCGGTGTGTTATAAAAGATAAAGGAGGGAGATCCCTTTGAGTGGGCTGCTGTGTTGAGTGGCTTTATCTGTATTGGGAAATGTGGAGAATGTGTCTGATGTTAAGAAGAATGAGAGAGAGAGTGTGTGTGTGTGTGGGAGAGAGAGTGAGAGAGAGAGAGTGATGGAGAGAAAGGGAGCTTCGACAGATGTTTAGAAATATTGAAGTTAGGGTCGACAGAAACATCATATGATAATTAGTTTAAGGCAGGATCACGATCTCTGATCTTATGACGATTGTTCTTCATGTTTAAGACTATTTTACTGAGCAGTACGACCGAACCAATGTAGCCCTACAAGATAACCAACACCACTCCAAATTCCATTCTGAAATTGATTGTTTTAAAGGGATGTTTGAAGTTCCTTTAAATTTCTATGCTCTCACACAAGGAACGAATCCATCAGCGCATCGACTACGAGCCTGTTTGTAACCGGTAGCCGATGGACAACGCTTTCCTCTGTCCACTTGCCTCTCCTCTGCTCCGTGTGTGGAGAGCCTAAACGGTGGAGGTGGTTTGGAGTGTTCCATCTATAACCTTCCCCGTCCCGGAGTCGGGCTGCTTAAAGTATAGAGATGGAGTTTATTGCGTTTGGGTAGACTTTAAGATAGCAGCGGCACTAACCTTTTAGCAGCGGTGCCTGTATGCAGGCGAAACACCGGCCCCGTAGAACTGTAAATGATAGACTGTACACTGTTGCGCGATACTAACGATCTCTCTGTTAAGGTGGAGACATTATACTCATTCAATTATCGTCATATCGCACACCCCTAATAGAATTATCTTTTTTAAGATACTGTCACTCAAACCTTGACGTCCTTCACTTTCAGGTCCAGTGACACTAACACAGCAGTGGTTATAGAATAGTTTGTTTAGAGATCTGCAGGAATGAGAGTTTGACTGAGCGCGTACATTTAAAGCATGTATTTCTAACCTCATGTGTACACCCTATGTATAATGTGTCCACTGGTCAAAGAAGGGTTTCTGCCCAGTACGACCAGCGCTGTTTGCTGTCTAGCAGCTGTATTGCATCAGTGAGAGGAAATATGGCTTTGCCAGAGGGCATGTCCGCAGTACTTATTTCCACATTTAGCTAGATGATTGGATACTAAATCAAGTATTCTTCCTGCTACTCTGATCTTTATAATTTATTTCTCTAGAAAGTCACTGAGTATGGAGAGCAGGGTGACTTGGGGAGCAGTGCAAACAGAGAGGACTGGAGTTAGGCCTCCTTGTTTACGTTGCTGAAGTGTCCTCGGGTAAAGCCGTGAATGCCTTTCAGCCTCCGCTCATCTGTTTGTAACCCATCGTGACCATCTGACCACCCTGCTTAGGGCGACAACGTGGGGGAAAAAGAAGAATTTGCCCACAGGGAGCGACGCAGATGTCAGCAGCCTATTCAAAGTGTGACTGCTCCAAGAGAGGAATTTGGGTTTTCTGAAAAGTGTCACAAACCGCTCTCAGGCCACATAAAGAAACGCTTCCCCCTGATGCAAAGTTGAGATCCAATAGATCGCTTGTCAATCAGACAAAGTGCTCATTTTCTTGTCTGTCCAGTCACGGCGGCGGTCACTACTCATGCTCACCTACTTCTTCTTCTGTTTATTCCAAAACCAAGCAGAAACAAAATGTACCACTTGTCTCTATGCCAGAGGATTGTTTGGAACGGACAGAGGGGGGATTCTCCACCAAACAGTCCGATTTATTGTTGGAAAGTTTGCTGTATTGTGTGAGCGATGGTGTTAAAGACAGGAAACAGCCATGAGAATGTCAATAAGGCCCTGAGATGGATTCTTAGCTCTGCCTTTGTTGTCTGTGCAGCAGATGGAGGATTCCCTGTCATTTGTCAAACTGGACAGCACACCTGGCGACGGTGTGTGTGTCTGTAATGACTGAGTTGTTCTAAAGTTTTCAGCCTCGGGCGAATTGCAACACTGAGTGGAGCGGAAGATGACAGGGACACATGGAATGTTTGTGTGTGCGTGAGTTATGTAAAGAGATATATTATTGGCGCGCAGACCTGGTGGAATCCTAAAGCACCTGTTTATTTGAAGCAGGGCGGGATGCAAAAGCTTACTTGGATTCCTCTTTTACGAGCTTGCACGACATTCATAAATCTCTTGGAGACCCGTAATTTAGTGAAAGCAACATTGTTGCTTGCGATCACTTGTCTATTTAACATCAATTTTGCAACAAAAACTCCAACCCACATGACCACATAAGTTGGTAATTTGTACCGTCTAATACGAGCCGAGGTTAGCGTCCCTACTGGTGGCGTGAGATCAACACGTCCTCATCTATTTGAGGAAAAGATCAAGGTTTGGGTTAGGTGTTTTACATTTCACATAACTTCAGTTACATATGTTAAGTAACCTTTGTTACGCTCAGTAAAATTGGACTTTCACGCAAAAGACGAACATTAGTCTCCTGGGTCAAGGTCCTGTGTTTGTTAGACCCGTCCATCCCTCCCAACCTCCTCTACGTGAACAAGGCGGCAACCTCCGGGTCTGTAAAGTGAAGCCAATGCGGAAGTGCCTTAAACTTGCCAGCACTCTTTCTAATAGCCGTCAGATTGTCAAGTCTGACATTGTAAACATGAGTATATGGTCTCAAATGCCTCAAAAGTCCTTTTCAATACATCATGATGTTCAATTAGTAAACTATGGTCCCATTTAGAGTGGAAAAGACAATAAAGCAGGATCCTTTAGGGCGTGGCTACTTTGTGATTGACAGGTTGCTGCCACAGCATTGTACAGTCTGGGAGTTGTTGTGTTTTCGTCTTACAACTTTAAGCTTTCACAGTGTGTTTTCAGTTCATAGGAGTTAATTGTGACATTTTTAGTCGCTTAAAGGTCGGTTGTACTTTGATTTCTCTCTCGTGTCACTTCTGGTAGCAAAACCCCAACACCGTGCTGCCGTCTGGAAAGAGATACAGAAGTATCAGCTGCAGTACTACCAGAATACCAAACAGCTTCTTTCCTCTGGCTGTGAGACTTCTTAACTCATTCTCCACCCTCCATATATAATATAGGTTTTTTTGTATTTTTCCTATTTAGCAAAATGGGACTACAATCTGAATTTTGTTGTGAAACCCTGTTGTACAATGACAAATAGAAAACCTTGTAACTTGTCACCTTTTTAAGCTGCTTGTACCAAAGACCTATGAGGTCATTTGTGGCAGAGGACGGTCTCCAATTTAGTCCAGATGTTTATTTTCACCTTAAACCAAAGCACTACTTAAATGTATTAATACCCCATAAATGTCTCATTTGTCATCTCACCTGTGAATAGAAAATACATTTTTGTACTTGACATTTGTTGGTCTACTTTATTTTAATTTCATTTTTTTGCTTTCATAACATTTTGGAAAGTTGTCTCTCCAGAATCTGACATTTCACAGTCAAACCAGGTAAAATTCATTTTAAGTGATGAAAAGATACCAGCTGCTGTACTCATTGTGGCCTTGGTAGACCAGAATGCATTGCAAAACAATGTAAAGATTATACCAGCTACAAATCAGCACCGCTGTGCCAAAGGACATCTTCTCAAAGCCACTAGCATGGCTGTGAACTCTTACTCTTGTTTTTCAATGGCAGAAACCCTGAAAAAACAGTATAGCAGTGCTGATGTGGCATAACACTTCATGAATATAGTGAACATGATGACGGATGAGTTTGGGGAGTGTGAGTATCTGAGCGTGGATTTTTCTTCTGTACACGATAAGATAAAGCCGGATCACATGAAGGCCTGGAGCCTGATATCTACCAGAGACACGTGGGTGATTTAGGTACCTCCTAGTGTCCTCACTTAACCCTCTGTAGATGTGAGCAGCAGCAAAATGCCCTCACTAAAGAGGGTCGTCCTCATTTTGCTATTCTTGTGACACGCACACACACACACACACACACAGCAGAGGGTAGTTCTTAAACTTGTCGACAGCCACACGCACTACCATTGACACTTGAACACTCAAGTACGCACCAACAGAGCACCGTAAATATAGAAATTGTTCGGCGACAGTTGTAGGCTGGCAGGCAGGACTACACACACACACACACACACACTCACTCTCAAACCACAGTCTGGCCAGCTGCTATGGGAAGAGAAGAGGTTATGAATGGGAGCGGCAGCTGTGGATTCCTCGGGATGATGGGGGGAGAAAGAGAGATAGGGGATAGGGAGATGAGTTGGAGGAGGTGGAGAGAGAGACAAGGAGGAAAGAAAAGAGGCAGAGTGAGGATCAGTTATGATTTTTTTAAATTTTCTCTACAACCAATTTTAGACACTTCAACTTGACTCTTCATGAAATGAGATTGAAATAACTATTTATTTGAACTGCAAGGAAAGGGGGCTGGTTGTTAATACAAAGTATATAACCTGAACTAAGGCGCTATAGCCTACAACTGTTATACTTTATTTTTATGAGCCAGGACACGTAGGGCTGCTGCTGAGAAAGTCAGGTGACGTATACAAAGAGTGTAAAGAGATGTAAAGTGTTTGTAAGGAGGCTTTCAAACAAACACAGGACTTTCACCTAGGAGACCGCTGTCTGTGTCACGTGTTTAACCAAAAGTCAACGCTGACTTATTTTAACTCACATTTGTTACACAACTAAAGTACTTTAAGTAAAGTAAAGTACTTGGTTAACTTACATACTTACCTAACGCCACCTACATAGAAGAAACATACTACTTTTTTTACAAAATAACTTCTTACACTACGCAATATATCAATCACTATCTGATTCAAGAACGATGTGCCTTTTTTTGAAAGTCAGTGTAACACGTGGTTCGGTTTGTTCTGTAAAAATCTTGAGGTCTGATTCAACATGTGACCATGTGATCCTAACTGTCAGTACAAGACTATTCATAGAGATCCTGAGTTGTGCAAGGCTCATTTAGCAACTCTGTGCTTTTGTGTGTGTGAATACAACCTCACCTCCTGCACCTTTTTAACTTTATTAGAGAATTAATCACTTCCATACTGATGAATTCATTTTGCCCGACACAAAACACTGATCGTTATAAACAACATAGAATCAGCATATTTCAATAAAATGATTCTAAACGATGGCTTTTAACTCTAGATGTCTTGTTGGTCTCTGTTGGGAAAGTGCTGCGGTGACCAATCCCCAAGAACAGATCAGTGTTTTGAACAAATGGAAGAAAGTGGGTGTTATCATGAGCTGCTACACTCACCATGGTTGAACAGACGCATAAAATAAACAGCGCCTCCTAGACAAAACTCAAATGTCATCAAACAGATAATCCTGGGAGAAAGGTGTCACTTTGGTGCAGAAACACCACACCACTGCACTTCCCCAAAACTGAAGTCAGCATACTGTAGCATTGCAAAACGGTAAGAGTCAACTGAAATGACCCATGCTGGGAAAAAGTTTCTCCTATAATACTATTAGGCGGAGTTTAGAAGGAGTTTTTCCATGTTCCTATAATGGGTGTGTTTGTGTTTGTGTTCAGTACATTGGTGTGTGGCCTTCAGGGCCACTGTTAGTCATTAATCTGAGTAGTTAATGGGTGTCAAAACCCTCAGCTTTCCACTAAAGCCATACATTGAGAGGAACGGGAACCGTGATTTGGGAGGCTGTGTGTGTGTGTGTGTATGTCAGAGAAGCCAATGTTATTTCCGTTTTTACCGTCTGAGCATGCAGTCGAGTAGGGAACTTCACTGCCGTAGGGGCTCAAGGGCACTGCGGCAGCAGCGTCACGACAACAGCAGGGGGAGGAGAGGGGAGGAAATGGGAGTCTAAACTCAGCTCTTAAACAGGAAGCCACCCTGGTTCTCCCATTGTTGTGATTTTATAGACTCAACTTCCTGCCGGCCCGACCACCCCCTCCGTCACCATGGTTGCAATCCCTAAAATTTATGGGATGGATTGTAAATATCTGCACTAGAAAGAGCTGACATCGGCCGAAGTGTGCCAATTGAAAAAAAAAATGGTAGTGTGAGAGAAGTTGTTGTGAAAGTGGGTTCCTAAAAAGTGTATTAAAAAATTCTTAAAATGCCTCCAGCAGTGTTGTCAGAGGTCTTATGTTTCATCACATCCTTCATTTCTTGCTAACTGTGTTCTTAGTCTGCACTTTACAAGTTTCAGCGTTTTGTTTTCTTTTTGTCTTTAACTTGATTCCAGGCAGCATTTTAAAAGGAGTTTAAAAGTCCCTTTCTGTCTGGAGTCTGCAGGCACACAAGGTGCTTCCACATGTGTGAATGAAATGATGAAATCAACAGTTTGTGTGTCGCGGCAGCGTCAACAAATCGAGACAGCGATACAGAGAGAGAGGGAGGGAGGGAGGGAGGAGAAGAAAGAGAAGGAGTTAAAGAAAAGAGGATGTGGCCGACAGTAAAAGATGACTGGAGGGGAGTGGAGCTCTCTGTCTAATTATAGATCCTGCTGTGAGCTGGCTGAGGCAGAAGTGCTACTGGGGTTTTCACACAGCCGGATATTTACAACACAGAAACACGGGTATGTGCCTTTTGACTTTATTTATCCTTTATTACTCCGTGTGCCTGCATGTTCGTGTGTGGTCGGTTGTCCCTGTGGACGTTTACATCTCCCGAACGGGAGGTGGAACCTGTTGTATCACAACTCCTTGGGTCGCACTGCGCACTGGAAGCCTGCTGTGGTGCGCGTCGGTGAGTGTGACAAAGTGTGAAGATCAATCAAGCCTAAGGCGTGAGGTTGAGGGCGAGCAAGGGGTTAAAAAGAGATTGCGTTCCTCTCCGTCTGTGTCACTCATTCTGTGAGATTTCTTCTCGCGAAGCTTTTGCGACTACATTTGTTTTGAGTGCAGCAACACAATGCAAGAGGTGTGTGTGTGTGTGTGTGTGTGTGTTTGAGAACTTGCTGGACTAACAGACAGCAGCCTTAGATGTTTATGGAAACTCAATGAGGACTTAGGAAACTGGACCCACGCTGCATTATACATCAACCTTCCTCTGTTACTGTCTCACACACACACCCACACACAGTCCTTTCTGTCTGTCATGCACACAGACACACATTCAAATCCATGCACACAGCTCTAATGCTATTAACCTGTCTCTCACACATATTGTGATTTCCCTACAGACGATGAATTGAAAAGCACCTTTTCTTGTGAATAGGAATGTCCACTGTGGGATCGCTTGCAGGAGGCCCATGACATTGGCCTGCTTGTTATTGCACGGGGTCCGTGTCTGTTTTTGGATCGCTGCTATTTTGGGTTTGTTTAGTGTCCCACATGTTTGTTCCTGTGAGAAATCTGCTGTACATCTAAATGTTTCATCTATCTCCTCAACATGTTTTTAGGTTTCAGCTGGACTGTGCTGTGATTCATCTTTTGTCTGTTTTCTCCACAAATCCCCGAATACCTATGATACACTGAGGCAGTGTTTGAGTAATAGGCAGGAAGGTTAAAAATGCACTTTCAGCATAAAGTTCAGGTTTTGATTTTCTAAATCAGGAAGTGAGGAATAGTGAGATCCGGACAATATACAACTACAATTTTTTTTTAAAGCTAAAGAGGTATAGACTGTATCGACTGATACAAAAATAATTCCTCTCAATCATCACTTATGAAGTGTGTGGCGGTGTCTGTATCTGCAGAGACCCTGCCCTCTGCCTGTATTTTCTCTTTTCTTATGGTTTTACTGTGTTCTGGATGTCTCTGAGCATCAGGATTTGGACCCCACGTGGAGGTGTAACCCCGTTCTTATTCCTCAGTGGTACCGCAGGGTAGACAGTGTTCTGTAAAGAGCAAATAAACATGAATGAAGTGGGCCATTTAATAGATTAGACAATCAGCAGAACTTTAATTCTCAACAATCTTAATGATTGATTGATTGTGTGAGCGATTTATCTAAACATTTCAAACATTTGCTAGTTTCAGCTTCTCAAATGGGAGACTTTGCTTATCTTTTTCAGTGTATTTATCATTACAAGTAGAATATCTTTGGGTTTTACACTTGATCTTGGTGGCATAAAAAAAGTCATTTTAAGACTTCACCTTGGGCTCCGTGAAATAATAACAATAATGAACAGATTCATCAGCAAGTTGCATCTGTAGTTATAATAGTCTTGTACTGGGCCGGGCTTTATAATGAAACTCTGTCTGTTTGTTTAAAGAGATCTCGTCTCATTAGTCACTCAATCTCGTCTTGACCTGGAAATAGCTTGTGTGAAAGAATCGTTAATGAAAAGTGATGCAATCAGAGCGGCATGCTGCTCTGGAAAACCGGTTTAAGACGAAGATAATATCAATGCTGTGTTATACCAGATACACCAGAGAACAGAAACGTCTTATTTGCAAAAAGTTAGTTGCTAAATTTGTCAAGAAGTGACTTCAAAAGCTTTAATTTTTTGCAGATTATCATGCATCTTCACTTGCTTAAGAAAAACCAGACTTGAACCTTCTGCTTTGACCCTGTGTGTGTTTGCTTAAGATGAAATGGGAACTGTATTCTTTGGCAAAGAGCTGGAACGACTTGCTGTAAACTTAGACCAGTAGTTCTTTGGAGTGAATCCTTACACACATACATACACACACACACACACACACACACACACACACACACACACACACAC